ACTGAAGTAAGTTATATGAAATTATAACCATTTTGTACACCAAGAAACAATAAATGACGCTTCAAATGTCTGGAAGTATTTCTGCATTATAAAAATGATACTCTCTTTTAAAAACTCATGTATTTGTCAAAAGCAACCTGCAAATCTTTATATACCATGCAGTAACACGGCTTTATTTGTTCATGTAACCCGCATATGTTAAAATGCAAAACATGCACAGCAAAATGCCACCAATATTTATGAAATTAGCCTAACACATTTTTGCTTGCATATCTACCGCTATAGGGGAATAAACAGTGGGGTAAAGGGGAAAAATGTCAGATTTACAATGGATTTGTGCTCGACTGACTCTAAACTGAGAAAAATTAACTGAATAGTTGATGTTGGGTATAGAATAAATTTAACACTAACTTTTAGTTGCTTGAAAAGGAGTTAAACTTTTCTAAGAGTTATAGTGACACTAAGTTTTCTCTCTGGAATTTAATCAAACATCATATCAATGACAAGGATGGGAGCACATTTATCTGCTTGTTTGTTTTAACATTGGAACTAATATAAAGTCTTCTTCCTGGATTTGTTCTTGCGTTGCACAATCCACAAGTCAGGCTTTGCAAGGCAAGGGGAGTCCATCCAGCTCACTCTTTATGGTCCACAAAACCTTACAATAAACATCTGTATTGCTGCCACGGCTTCCCCTTTCCTTACAATAAACATCTGAAGGAACGGTTTGTTCACTCAATCGTGTCGGAGCTAAAACTTTTTATGAACTGGAGAAGAAGTTGCCTTGAATAAGATTCAGGACCCAAATGAATGGCAGAACTTTGGAAAAGTCGCTGCAACATCCTCTGTGATGGATGTTGCATAAAAGTAAACCCATTTATAGAAGAGGTAAGAGATTGAAGAAGAAACCACATGGAGACAGTTACCTTATTAAAGATTTAGTTAAACATACAAAACTAAACCATAATAATGATTAAAAAAAATACTTTTTTGCACTTACATTTCTCCTACCACCAGAAACAGGAATGTTACGAACCAGCCTTTGCAACAAAAGAATACTTCTTCAGCAGTATACTTTTTTGACTTATACAATAAATATCTTGTGATATGTCTTATAAGAATAACTGTGAAATGATAAGATTTTATGAGGTTTCTGAATCTGAATGTATTTTTATGATCCTGTCCAACTTTTTGTTGTGTAAACAAAAAAAGAGATGCTTTTTGTTGAGAAAAAACAAACTGAAATCTGAAGGAAAATGCATTTCTGGTCAAAACTAATCATTCAGTTTCTTTCGGTGATTTCAAAGCAAATATATCTACTTAATGAATCCTGTGTTAATCGTATTGTATAGTTTTAATTGTTATAGAAAGTAGCTTTTAAAATGTAACGCAGCTTGTTCTATACAGACACACACGTGATGAGCGGTGACGCTTGATGAATGGCGGTGTGTATGCGAGCGCAGCGAGGCCCTCCATGCGCGCCGACATTCTCGGCCCTCCATGCGCGCCGACATTCTCGGCCCTCCGCACTCTGCTGTCACCTATGGAGGTATCATCCCTTACAGTCAGACAGGGATCATAATTGCACCTGCTAATTATCATCTCCAGCTGGAGAGTTAAATGGAGATCTGTTCTATGTCTGACCTTTGACCCCGTGCTCTTTATATGACGCACTTCAAACCCTGTTTGGGGCTGTCTGGGCCGGGCCTTAATGAGGCCCCATGTCTGCCCTCTGTGGGCTGCGCGCCTCGGATGCCCCGCTTTCATCCCCGACTATCTTCCCTTGATGTAAATTGAAAAGATCACAGCTATGGGGAGAAGACCTGTACTGGAAAGGCCTCTCTGCATAGATTATGAATATCATAACTCAACAGTTTTTTTTTCTTTTCCCCTTTCCCTCAGCCACCCACTCCCCTCTCTTCTGCTGCCACCCCTTCCCTGTACAATGCTATAGTTCTAATTGGACCCAATGGGGGAGTCTCTGCCTTTGATCTCATCACCGCCACTGTGACTTTACACTAAAAAATGTCACTGCCAAATAGGGTTATCACCTGTAGAGCCTGGCCTTCCTCTGATGCCTGTACACGTCTCGTTAGCTTCACTCAAACTGTAGAAGTTAATTAGTTTGACAGAGCCATTACCGCGGAGGCATACCTGATGATTGTGGCTTAGGCACCACATTCAAGATCCAATTACTAAATACACGTTTATTTCATTTCATTATTTTTTTTTTTTTTGTCGAGAATCTGAGCGAGAATGGGTCGCGAGGTTTGATTTCTATTAGTAAAAACGAGGTTCGCACTCGCGCGGCGCAACTAAAAGCGTTTGATTTGAGAGATGTAGCAATTTCTCTGAACATTAGGAATATTTTTTGCCCAGTCTTTTATTCTTCCTAATTTTAAACTCGTTGCTCTTTTGCGCATTTTTTGTTATTGGGAAGTAAAAATCAGATTGTGCCCCAGCCTCATTAAAAAGTGTTTGCTCACCCTTTCAGAGCCGCAGTACAGGACTCTGCAGGGTAAACTCGGCTGTCCCGTCTGCTCTGACAGTCTTCTGGGTACGCCTCCCCCTCACAGACTGACGACGTGTTCGCTTTGATTCCTCCCCACAAAAAGAAGACAGTTTAATGATTTGCAAAAATCAAAAATAAATAATAAAAATGTGTGATAAGCACATAAACATGAAATATTAATCCCACAAAGGGCTTTACATAAACATAAAAGCATTTAGTAGAATGAGTGAATATGGAGATGGCACTTGTTAATTTAACCATGGTAAACTTTCTGTTTGATGCCTGGAAGCATTTTGCGATGGCAACGTGGGGACACTGTGGAGAGTGGGGAAAGCCCAGGGGAGTGGAATCAACACTGTTCGTTTTGTCTTTGTCCCAGTTTAAGATCGACATCTTGCTTTCTTCCTTTCTTTCTTTTGTCTCTTAGTATCTCAGTTCTTTCCTCCATGTGTGATCTGCTCAGACTTCCCAGCTCCAGTGATATTGATCTCATCTGTGATTGAAATTAGACAGGGGCCAGGATGATATTGTCACTGTATTATATTCCTTAGTGAAAATACCACATTTTACGGTAATAAAAGATTTATGCCATGATCTATGGTTAACCAGAAAAGCAACAATTAAAAGTAGTGCTGCTGAAAATAATACAACATATTGATAATTATGGTGTTGGTAAAAATGTTGCTTTGCAGAAAAGTGGCTCTGTTGTCTAATGAGGTCTTTCAGTGTGGAGCTTGCATGTTCTCCGTGTGCATGTGTGGGTTCTCTCCAGGTACTCCAGTTTCCTCGCACAGTCCAAAAACATCTTGACATTGCCCTTAAAGCTGGGTTATGTAGGTTTAACATACATACATCTCAGGTTTTGCACATTTATTAAAACTATCACGATCTATGAAACGGATGATCGAGCTCCTCTGCCTTCTCCCAGTGCTCCCAGTACTAACTGCAGAAAGACAACATTGGGTCAGAATGACCCTAAAAATAATAGACAACTATTTAACAAAAATAGTTTGAGGTTTTTTAAATAGATACAGTACACGAGAGTTCTAAAAGTAATTTGATTAGAGCAGTAGATTTCATTCATCCCTCAGCTTTATCTGATTTTATTGTGCTTATTATGTTTATTGATGGGCTCATAAAAAAATACAAATAAAACTTATGTTTCTGTATTTTACCAGCTGATCGCAAATCAGATCCAGTCGACAGAAATTCGACTGATTCTAATTCCCGATTTACTTTCATATCGTTACCCATATCTTTTTAAAACTTTGTTATACCTTGACACACATGTCTGATTTAAAAAGACAAAATTAAAATGTTTGTTTCATGCATTTTTCCCATTAGAACTACTAAAAAGAAGTCTGTTGGTAATAAAACACTTGCAGCACCTTGGTGTTGCATTGTTTTAAACAGTGACTGGGTTGGACTGCTGAAATTTACAATGCAGCGTTAAATGGAGGAACCAGACTGCTAACTCTAAATGTTAATTTACTCTTTTTCTGGTTTCACACAGCAGCACTACATGCGCTGTCAATTTTAACTTTTTAAAATGTGGAAATTTGAATCAAAAGAGTTTTGACTTGTTACCTTAAACATTGTTTTCTCGCATATAAAATCATAAGTTATTTTTACACAATATTACAGAAGTGGAATTGAAGCGTCAACCCTTCATTTCCTTCTGTGCGTCGAGTAATGTAGATGAGAAACATGCTTTAGTGTGAAGCTGGTACAGCCCACACAGAGACAGCGACAGTCCCTCGCTACATGACATCACTACTGTATCTCTGCCTCCTCCTCGCACTTCCACAACACAGTCAGACCACTGCTGAGCAGGTGAGGAGAGCCTCTTGACAACTTCCTTCCCAGACTCCCCAGGGCCCGGTGGCCAGGGTGAATCTTTTGTCATCCTGAAACAAGCTCAGGCCTGCTGCTCCTCCACTCTCGCCTGGAGTCCTGGAGACAGAGCCAGAAGAGGGGGGAAATAATTAAAGACGTTTTATGTCAAGAATCCCTTTCTAGAGGGAGACTGGGAGAGCCAAGAGGGGAGGGGAAAACAGCAGGTCTGGATGGAAGGACCAGGAGACTTGAGACATGGAGGCAGAAATGAAAGGAGGGAAGGTGGTGGCGGGGGAAGAAGGAGGACTGAAGGAGGAAGAGCAAAGATACAACTTTCTATTTCCTCTCTTCTTTACCCTTCCTTACAACTCCCCCTCCCTTCTGCCCCAATGCGCTGCTCAATTAGCAAAGCAGCAGGTGCTCTCAGCAGCACAACAGATAAGCTTGAAGGAAAGGCTTTCATTCTTTTCTATCCCTTTTTTTGAGATGACCTGCAAATGTGATACTTCACACCCAGAATAGGCTAGCTGTTTCCTCCACCAATTTCAGAGGTGATAATTTAACTTTTACCCTTCCATGTCTCCCTCCCCTCTCTCCCTGATCCCTGCCTTTATCATTTCCAACTCTTTCCCATCCTTGATGTTTCCACCAGGTGTCCGCTCTGAAGGCTAAGCTGAAGAAGCAGTCCACTGCAACAGGTGATGGCGTGGCCAAGGCCTTCCTGAGAGCGCAGGCCGCTCTGTTTGGATCGTACAGAGATGCGCTCAGATATAAACCTGTAAGCTCCTTCATCATGATTTACTAAGTTATTTAGGGGTTTTTCCCCTCAGTTCTATTTTTTAATTCAGTGGATTTATCCAACATGAAATGCCATAAATAATAGTTATTGGAACCTCTGTAAGAAGTCGGGAGTTTTTTGCAAAATCAATAACACTTCATTTACTAAATTATGAATATGAAATCATGAATAAAATTAGCAGAAAGATGTATAAACTTACCCCCCATTCACATAGAAAGAAAAGTATCTGTTCAGCTTAGAAGGCTATGGCAGACACATTTCAGTGTAGTGGCATCAACTAACTCTCACTCAGTTCCTCAAAACGACTTAAGAATAAATTTAAAAACTGCTGTGGATTAACAGGAGAACATGAGAGCAGTGTGAGTAAATTGTTGATAAAACAGGAAAGGTCACACCACCAGTTTGACAGTATTTCAGTTATTTGCCGACTGATATGAAGCACGTTTTCAGTCATATCGTCCAGCCCTGATCTCACGTATTTGCAGATTTTAGCTATTTACAAGCAGCTGTGTCCTTTACCCCTCTGAATACCAGGGATCCAATCATTCTTGATTTTTCGGATGTACAAATGGCCTCAAACTAATTGAAACATCAGTTTCGTTTGACTCACCTTGAAAAGCTGTTACACTTTAAGACTGCCTCAAAAAATAAAGCATCAAGCACATAATATGAATTCATATTCACAAGCTGAAGCATTTTGTGAATAGAAGTGATTTCCTCGTGGTGATGTGCAGGACATGGTAGCAGTCTTATCTGAAGTGAAGTGAGTCAAACTTCACTTGCGTCTGTTAAGGCTGTGGCAGTTTTGACTCAGGGTAAGAGGTGTGTTTTCAGACAGAGAGCAGAGCTAAGGTGGGCTTGTCTGAAGCAGTGAAATGTCAGAGGAGCTGGAAGGAGTCAGGACGTTCCCTTTGAAGATCCCTTTTAGCCACCTTTGGTGTTTAACTCTTCTTTACTAAGCCCCCCTAACATTTCTTTTCTAGATCTTCTCTGCTTATCAAGTCTGAGTCAGAGCAGAGCAAACTACACCATGTCCTGTTTGTCAAATAGCGAAGCCTTTGTTCCTTAGTCTTTGAGATTAATTGGACTTTGTGGACTCCCGGAGTCAAGATGCTACATTATTGATGCTGTCTCTCTTTTTCTCTGTATACAGACAGTAGACGAACAAACTGCCTCCCCTCTGACACCAGCACAGAGATGCAGTGTGTTTGTGTGCGTGAGCAGCAATTTCTCAGTTCACTCACGCTCACGTTTGCTTGTAGACAAGGTCTGCATAAAAGCCTCCAATTTAACATATATGTTAAAACCTAAACAGAGCATCCAGTGTAATGAAGTTGCTCATAGTTTCCCGCAGTATTTGTTGAGTATCACATCGCTGCTCATTGTTCTGAGCTGAAGAAAAGATCCTCCTGGAAAGAGCTGAGTTGTGCTGAGCGGTTCACAGACCCATATGCCTCAACAGAAGGAGGGGTGTGGATGCTTAGTAGGAGTCTTGCTGAGCTGTAAATGAAACAAAACTGGAGTCTGATAATGAGCTGAAAGGCAATCAGCTGATTATACAGGGTTTTCTTACGCCATCAGTTTGAGCTTGACGTTCTTCTGCCAGGTGTTTCTCGCTATCTTCCGTTAAAAAAAAATTGCGAAATTAGTTTTAGCCAGCAGGACTATTAAGACTCAGCCTCAGTTAAAGTTTGAACAAACTATTCGCTAATCAGTTCTGAGAGTTAAGCAAGATGGGATCTTAGAAAATGGCTATGGTGTCATTACGTTCAACACCCTCTTTTTTTGCCATCCTTGTTCAAAATGTGTTAAAAATCTTTTAAAAAATTTGGCTTTTACCACAGGAACAGATTTATACTCAAACAAGTGAGCTTTAAAATCTTTTTCTGTGCTGCAAAGTTCAATTCAGTTTAACAAATGTCTTCTTGAGGCACTTTACAAAAAAAAGTAATCAATTCGATTCCACATACATTCCAATGAATCCTACTTATCAAATTATGCATTAAGCTCAGTTTATTATCAAAATTAGTTTTAAAAAGTTTTCAATCTAAGGAAACCCAACAGATTGCATCAAACTTGTGTCGTTGACTTTAAAGGAATCCCTCATGCTGAGCGACATACATTTTGTGATGGTGGAAAAAAAGATATAAAAATAAATAAATACAAATGTAATGAAAAAATAAACTAGCACAAGGAGATACAGACCAAATTATAAAATATATTTTAATATATAACAAAAGAGAGGCAATTAAAAATAATCAAATATTACATCATTCAAATCAAAATATTCGCTGCCAAACATTACATTAATTTTGAGGCAGATTAAAATAACAGATATGAATTTGCCAGTGTGATCTCATCAGGAAGAATATTGCAAAATATTCTTCAGAATCAGCGGTCCAGCAAAAAAAGTTTAATATTCTTCAGTTTTCAGTCCTTACTGTGGTTGTGACCAGAAAAGCTCCGACTGAGCTGTCAGCCAGAGGCATGAAGTGTCCCTGTGAAAAAAGAATTAGGACACGTCATTACACATCCACTTCTTTTTTTAAATGTTCAGGTATGGATTTCTAACACAGATATATTATGTTTCAGCAAAAGAGCGACTTATTTGCATTTAAACAACCAAATTGAGCCTTTTTATTCATTAAATAAAATATATCAATAAAACTGGTAGTTTGGAGGAAAAGTTAGGACTCTCTACTTGCTAGCCTTACCCTCCTTTAGTTGAAAAATCTTCCTTTTGCATTTAAAACTTTTCACCATTTAACTGGAGATGCGTTCTTGTGAAGTAATTTGGGCCACTGGTATCATTTTCCCATCCTTGAAAATGAGGTTACGCTCCACTGTTGTTCAGTTGTTTGTATGAGCCACATTGCGCTCGTAGCCTTGAACAGACAAAGCTCATTGTTTTCACTGCACAGGAATTTAGAGCATCGTCGAAATATGTGAGAGTTATGTTAATTATAAGATAACATGAATTAGAATTGACTGGAGGGCAGCGTGTGATTGGCCCGGAGTGGTTCTGTTGTCATCCTCTGTGTCTATAGCTCACAGGCCAACAGACATGATGTAAGAAATGGTAATAATGTGATAATGTGTTTATATACGGAGGACTGGGAAGTTTAGTGGGACACCGTCATCTGGTCCAGTGCAACTCATATGAGCGCTGCCAGGGGAAATGGTTAAAAGGGGACTGTTTTCAATTTATTTTAAAAACTTAAACTTGTTTCTTTTCCGTTTCAGTATTACTTGAATCTTCTACTTGTTTCTCACTAATGAAGAAATCATTTGAAATACTGAAATTGAAAAGCTGATATCCAGTTCCTTGCACACTGTCATGTTGTAACCACAAACTTTCATTAATTTTATTTGTATTGAGTGACCTTTGCAACTCAAGCAGCTATGTTTTTTCTCTGTGGCTACAAAATAAAGCATTTCCCTCTGCAGGGAGAACCAATCACATTCTGCGAGGAGAGTTTTGCCAACCATCGCTCGAGTACGATGAAGAACTTCCTGTCCATGGCTGTCAACCTGCAGCTCTTTAAACAGGTACAGACAGCTGTGTATGTTTATCTCTGTTCCACTGGCACTCCTTTCTGCATGTTGGAGATAACAAAAGTGGTGCAACCTTTTTAAAAAAAAAAAAATGTGGGAGTTAAATTTGTTTTCGGTTCTACAATTTAATCTGTGTGAAAAGGGGCATATTTTTCATCATTCTTGCTTATCATTTTCTTCTTTCACAGTTACTTTCACAGTGTATCTTGTTGGTGTAGCATATCTGTAAAAAAACAGGACAGAGGCTTTATTTAGTCGCTGTCTAGGAACTGCACATTTGTTAGGATGCTTAAGCGGGTTTTTTGTTGGGAAGTGATTGTTACAGATGGACCCCGTCTCTCAGCAAACTGTCAGCTGCTCAGGGTTAGCGGTTAGTATCTTGACAGTTCAGTTGTTCAGAGTGAGGAGGAATTTAGAAGAGCAAAGCCCGGATTATGGACGGTTACTGACCCTTTCAAACTGTTTACGGTCATTATCTCCGTGCTCAGATTTTAATGTTTCTCTGTTTATTCCGTTTTTATCTTCAGTACAAACAAAAGTGATAAATTAGGGCTGGAGAGTCCACTGACTGTATGAAACCATAACAAGTTTGCATTCTGTCCTCAACATGTTTGTGCCAGTCTTTGAAAGCACAGAAAGCTCATGCCAGACTGTAATTCACGCTCTAATGAATGTGGTTTCTCTTCTTCGGTGCTCAGTGTCTTGTCTGTTTAAGCAGGTATTCTCTACTCATGTGTGGTTTGTTTAAAAAACAAAAAAAAAAAAAATCACTCATGTATACTTAATGTTTTCCCTCCAAGTCCCTTCAGTAATACTAAGCTTAGCGAAGCCAGAACAAGAGGAAAGGCACCTCTGGCTTTCCTCTCGTTCTTTTTCTCTCACCTCTTTGTGCTCTCTGACCCATGATAGTTGTGTGATTTCCCCTCGAGAGTACAGAACAGCGGCCCTCAATCAGCCTTTTGTTTCTCTGGACACCCTACTCATAATTTTCCCAGGCCGAGGAGATAGTGAGCATCAGTTCAAAGCCTCCTCTGGGCCGGCTGCCTCCTCAAGCGGTAGCATTGGGAAACAGGTCCTTATCTCCTCCTCCTCCCCCTCTCGAGAGCAGGGGATGGGGTGAGCTTATCTGCTCCACTCCTCTTTCTGTTAAAGTGAGCTGGGCCAGTGGTTTTGCCCGAGCGGTGCTCTGACCATGACCCACATCCCCTCAGAAACACACATGCAGTGCTTCTCTTGCATGGCCACACACATGCGCGCATAAATTTTTATATTGATAAGTACATGCTGTGGGAATGAAGACGTGTTCTTGGTCAGTAGTTTCTTATTCAATAGTTTTATCTCAACTACTTTTATGTTTTGGCCAGTATTTCTTCTCCTCCTGTTTCCAGACACATGGTCTTCATTCTGACAAACACACAGGTAATGGAAACAAAAACCAAGGCAAAAATTGCAGAAGAAAATTGGTTTTCTATTTGAGAAACCAAACTTGACCACTGGTCAAGAACAAAATGATCATTCAAGATAAAAGAAGTGAATGCAGCTTTTGCAGCTCAGGTTTGAGTTCATAATGCAAAGATTTGTCTGGCGATTCATACACCAGTTCTCTTGTTGTCTGAGTTGCAGTGCATTGGAGACCCATTAAGCTGGCACTGTGCTGGGACTTGTGTTTTTAGTCGAGTCCATCCTACTGTTTTTCATGTAGATACTGTAATTTGTGCTCCTGCACTGACCAGCATTGGTGAACAGGATATATTATGCAAAATTCTCATTTTGCATGGTTTTATATTTCCATTTGGGTTTCTCCTGCTTATAATAACAGGCCAAGTGCGTAGAAAACCCTGGCTATAAGTCAGTTTTTTAGTGTGTGTAAAATGTCCGATTGTTAAGTCACATTTGAAAGGCACTGCCGCGTTACCTAGCAACCCCAGCCAAGCCCTGTCACCTAGCAACCCCAGCAGAGGGCCCACATGTTTGGTCCGCTGGTTTTACTGCTGTATGTGCTGTACAATGGCTGCTGGAGAAAACAAGTGTTTTGTTATTGTCTTACCTTCCAGAAACCACTTGCTGCATTGTTGCTAGTTGTGCAGGAGGCTCTATTTCTGCTTCTCAAAGATGTATGGTTGAATAATTGTGCACCTGTTTGCAGCCATGTTCACATGAAAGTGTGAAAGGAGGGCGTGGCCAACAGCAGCTTATTTAAAGCAACAAGAGGCCCTCAGACAGTTTATTCTGAAAGAAGCTTGAAGTGGTCTGAAGTGAGCAAACGCATTATCTATGAATGTTTTTGTGCAAAAAATGTTTCAAACATTTGATCCAAGTCATGCAATTAAGAAAGTGCTACCAAATACATAGAAAATGTATGTAAACTTTAGATTTGAAGAAATTAATAATTAAATCTGTGACATGTTATTTCTCCAACTTTTGTAGCATTTAGCAAGTAGGAATAATTTCATCACACTAGCTGACCTAAAGCCAGAGAAGCTTGCTCTGATTTAAGAGAGAAAAAGTTGTCTTTTCATATGGCGCATGCAAAAGTTGCATTGCATAAAGCCTTAGTAAATCTTGTTTCAGTCTCATATTTTTTTTTACTTCAATAATTTACTCGGCTCTCTAGAGGAAGTCCATACATCTTGAATAAAATCAAATTAACTGTAAATTATTCATTTATTTATTCTTAAAACAATACCCAAAGTCTGGAATTTTATGCTCTTGGCCTTACTAATTTTAAACCTTCAAAATTTAAACCATACTGTTGGACTCTGTTGACCTCAGCCCACATTAAACAGTCCAAACCACATGTGAATACCTCTGAAGTGTTACCTGAGGTGGAGGTGTTACCATATCTTAGCAGGAAATTGCTTTTCTACATGTACTTTTTTGATTGATTGCAAGTGTTTTTCACTCTCTTTAAATTACCCGTTAAGTAACAGTCCCCTCATTTGAGCAACACGGAGCTGTTAATCTAAATCTGCAGCACATTATGAATAATTGGGAAAGTTAAATTGCTCAGTTAACCGAAAGAGTTTGTCGTTTTACAAGACAAATCTTACATTGCAATACATCTTGTTATATTAACGTTAAAGAAAATATTGTTAAATTATCATTGTTTTAATAAATTTATATGACCTATAAAGCTATAATAAAAAAAGAGCATATTGGAGTGGTGTGCTGAGAGAAAACCAGAACCCAAACCATAAATAATTTAATCTTTTTTTCTGAGTAATAGTCTTTACACTAATCCTAAAATACACACAGAGAGGCCACATGCTTCTTAAAATGTCACATATTCACCTTCTTGCACACACAGGCTCTTTCTTTTCCTTTCTCCACTCGGTCAAGCAGTCCATCTTTGTTCAGAACAGAACAAGTGGGAGAAATCTTCAGAAAGAATGCGGGGGAACATCTGTCAACATTAACCTGCTTCCTATCAACCATCTCCAGCTCCTGCACTCACTCAGACTCTCAAGCACACTTCGATTGTCATGTGGATATTATGCAAGAGCCTGAAGGGGCACTTGTACCCAGATGGTTTACTGCCAGTAGTCTTCTATATGTATATTTATTCAGTTTTGGTGTATATGAGCAGATTTGCCAAGGCAGTATTGGAAAGAGTTGCTTAAAATAGCAAAGCCAATTTTTACATAAATCTTGGATTTCTTAATGCATTTCCTCCATGAAGTATACAGTTAACAAGCATGTGGCACCACTGAACAGATTTCAGTACTATTTCAAATGTTTCCTCGTGAGATTTTGATTTTTTTTTTTTCCTGTACGCTTGATTGACATCTCTCCTAACATATCTTGTGGTGTCAACAGCTGCCACTTTCTCCTTAGTCGTAGTCTTCACTCGTGGGTAAAGACTCTTCAAATAAGAAAGTGCTTGGACTCCTTTTAGGCTCTACATTCATGTCGCTCTAAATGGACTTCTGTCGGTACTTAGCTTAATTTCTGGCTACGCAGAGGCCAAACAAACCGAGGCAAAAGCTACAGGATCAATAACTTTCCCCTTTTTAACCATATGAGAGCCAAGTTAAAATAAAGTCCCTTTACTACAAGTTTACATTAAGATTGATTTTGTTAAATTCACAACCTTTGCATGGACTTTTAATTGCGACCAATAAAGCAACTTTTTTAGCAAATAAATTAAGTAGGTTTGTAAGGGTGCTATCTTTATGTTTCCGCGCAAATTTGGACATTTTTGTGTACATTTGTTTAACTCTACAATATCTTGCCTAAGACTATGTCAGATTGAACAGTGGCTACTGCAGTGGAATTTTTCTATTGGTTATAACAGTATAGCTTGGTTAGCATATGTTGCAGACCCACATTCAAGTATGAAATTTTCTCACTGGTCACTTAGTACCTCACACATTGTCAATATAATATTAGCAGAAAAAAGTCTCTAAAGTTACTAGCCAAAATAAAAAAATCACTAGAGGGATCTAAATAATTGCTAAATATAGAGATAAAGTGGTAACAGCTCCACACTTGGCCACGCCCCTCAATGTATCAACAGATCCATTGTAACTGGAGATTCTTGCCTCAAATTGGAGAATTTGTTCAAAAATAATAGTTGTGGCATTCACAGCTAACAGCAAGCTTTTTTGCAAGAGAAATGTAGAGATATTGAATCGTATTTTTCTTCCATTTTACTATTAAAGACAATGAGATGCATTGGGTTTTGTGGCTGTCAGGTGAGAAAAAGTGAAACAGATCTGAAAACTGCAATATTCTAAAATCATCTGTATTTTGTGTTAATAAATCTGACCCCAATTTGGTCTTGGAATTTTAAGCGCTTTTTCTTCTGTCTCTAAAAGCAGAGAAAATGACTACCTCCCCTTTGTTGCCGTGTTTGTGGCACTGTTCATGCAGATGTAACAGATGTTTTTTGTTTTGTTTTGGGGTTTTTTTTTAGAGGTGGTTTACATGTTTGTGATCACAGCCTGCCATTGTTGAGTAATGTCCAATTAAGGCCCACAGCGAGGCAGGTAATCTGGCCGAGGTTTGAGTGGGGGTGCAGGGTGTTTAAGTGGAGGCTCGGGCTAGGTGATGATTTGGGTTGATTATCTCCGCTAATTGGACCAGCCATGTAGCGGAGCAGCCGATGGAGTCTGCAGTCTCACCTCTCATTAAAATGATCTAATGATTAGTTTCCAGCTCTCCTGACCAGAGAAGCGGGTAGCCGTGTCGGTCGCTAGTTAGCAGGCTGTCCCTGAGGACATGCACCCAAGAACAGGCTGTACTGGTGTTACACAGTGGACGTGCTAACACAAGGGGGAGGAGTAGGATTGTTGCATTTAAAAAAAAGTGGTCTGACAATATGTTGCTGTCAAGTTTTTTTCCATTCTTGGAAGACTATAATACCATTTGTTAATTATTAAAAAAGTTAAATAGGGTTTGGAAGGTTGAAGGTTTATCTCACTAATTAATGATATCAGTTAAAAAAGTTTGCCTTGAAAACAGATGGATTTTTTTCTTTACATAAATTATAATTATTTTCAGTATGTTGTTGCAGAATTTTACCTGTTTTTCCACCTACTTGGACAAAAAAAAACATGGCTACAACTGAAAATATTTATGCTTATGGTTCAAGTGTCAAAGATCATCTTAATATCTAAACATGTCAATATATATGTATATAACTTCTGAAAGTCAACTTTTCTGTGTTTTACAGGACTAGAGGATCTATTACCCATTTTCCCAGAGTATTATTTGTTTGCAAAAATATTGAGACATTACTAATAAAGTGAAACTTTGGCTCGGTTAACATGCACTATGATTGTTTATATTAAATTAGGAAGATTTTCATTGTTAATAACTATGTAAAAGAATTGTTTTTAAAATCCAGCTTTGACAGGATATGCAACAGAGTTAAAATACTCCTGGTGTGGCAGCAAATTCTTTATAATGGTCCAAATTGCTCTAAAGAGGTTTTGATGTGTTTGTAACTATTATCTCTCTCCACTAGTTTGATTTAATCATACTCTGCAGGAGCCCAGCAAGCAAGCTCTTATCGCTTTTTTATACAAAGAATGCACTTAGTTTATTAATTTAACTCGACGAGTGTTTGTTATTGTTTATTTTGTGACACACTAATGTGCTGTTTGTCACTGAGCTAATAAAACGTGCAGCTGTCTCGGCTGTTAAGTGCTTATTTATGACGTGGAGTTTAGTGGGCTCTGTGTTACAAAGGGAGGAAATGAAACTTCCTCATGTCTCAGACAGTGTGCAGAATTTAGACTGCAGCTCTAATCCCTCATCTGCTCCATATTAACAAATCCCTATTACCTGGAAACTCACCTAATCTCTGGATGTAGTTTCCGTCAGGTAGGATTAATAACACCCCTCTGAGGCTCAAGTGTTTGAATCTGTGTATATGTGAGAGTGCCCCCTCTCCCGCTTCCCCTCCACTCCTTTAATAAGCATGTTGTAATTTATGGTTGCAGTTCATCGACGGACGGCTGGCCAAATTAAACGCAGGCCGCGGCTTCACCGATGTGTTTGAAGAAGAGATCACAGAGGGGGGCTTCTGTGGAAGTGAGTAGTGCCAGACTTGTCTGTCAATAAGATTAACTGTATTTATTTGTCATATTTATTGCACCTCAGTGATGCTGTTATGCCATTGTTCATGTGAAGCACAGGGAAAAATAAACCAAAAGAGTTATGTTTAACACTTTTACTGCAGTAGAAATTGTGTTTTCAACCAAGTAAAGCTTTATGTGTTTAAATTTTTTTAAAAATAAATACGTAAAACCCATTATGATGTTTGAGTTAGCATCATGAGCTACAAATGTCATAAGATAAACTCCTGGTTGTTTAGTCATGTTGCTCCAGCTCAAAACTCAGTTCTGACACCAGAAAAGTGAAAATGAACAGACCCTCTATCATTGACTAAATTAGCTAAAAACAATCCCACTGTAAATTTACCACAAACTTCTCAGTTTATCCTGAGAAGCTCCTGAAAGTCTTGACTCTTTTTGGGAAAGAGGAAGAAGCTGAAATGACAGAGAAGATCTTGAGTCTTTGCTTAGGCCCAACTATGAATCACCAGCATGTAACTCTGATGCTGATCTGTCAGACTCTTGATGAGGACGAGTATGTTATTGCTGTTGATGCATGTACATACCACACGTGGATCTGATTAAAGTAGTTTTTTATGAAAAAGGTATTTTAGTTCACTTACTGAGTTCAAAAATTAAAACAGTGTAAAGATTGATAAGTCACAAAGTGACATATTTGAATAATTATGGCTTATAACTCATGAAAGCCCAAAATTCTATTATGAAAGTTAATATTTCACATAAAACTAAAAGAAAAATTTTTTAATTTAGAACTATCAGTCTGCTGAAGGTATGTTCTTGTACTGTGAAGTATATGCACTGAGCACTTTTTCATGAATTACAGTATCAATGCTCTTTGAGTTAAACAAGGCCCAGATTGCTTCATATTGGCAGGGCTTTGGTTCTAGGATAGGATAACTACAGCTCTCAAAGTTGTAGTTATTCTCATCAACCACGCTTATTTCCTAACACACTTTTTCCTTCCACTTAACTTTTCATTAAACTACTTTGATACATCATGAAGTGAGGGCCGAGTTTCTCTATCAAAGACAGATTTTATTTTCTTCCTTACCATCCTCAGAGATGTCATTGACTCCGCTGGACAGGTTTCAAGTTTGCCAAAACTTTTTTGTACAACTTCATTCTTCCAACATCTGGTGACATGAAGATACAGACCAACAGGTTTTGGCTCTTGGCCTTTGTCACATACAGCTAATTTACTCTATATGTTAGAGTAAAATATCTGCTGATCATCAGGATGATCATATTATAAAACGTCTAAATATATCACTCTGCCTAATAATTCAAAACATGTCTCACATTTTGCACTTAAACTAAAGAAGTCGGTTAACTTTTCAATGATATAACTGTTTGCGCCTGTATTGTATTTCTGCTTCACATTTTTGTTGTGTATGAAGATGCATGGCTTTGAGCAAATAGCACTCCTGCATCATCTCTTTACACATAAAGCATATGTAAATAATCTCCTGCTAAGTCAGCATTGTGCCATTTATAGTACACACTGCTATTAATGTATGTTCCCAATAATAATTGTACATAATGTAATGCGGCGCTCTGCAAATGTCATGCCTGCCCCGACAGCTAGAAGAATCCTTGACTACAAATTCAGTATTTCATTCCAAGCTGAAAGCCAAAGCAGAAATGTCTGTCTGTGTGTGTGTGTGTGTGTGTGTGTGTGTGTGTGTGTGTGTGTGTGTGTGTGTGTGTGTGTGTGTGTGTGTGTGTGTGTGTGTGTGTGTGGTGTGTGTGTGTGTGTGTGTGTGTGTGTGTGTGTGTGTGTGTGAGGTTTGTCTCTTTGTGAGCATGACTGGATGGATTTTGTGGAATCCAGGAAAAAGGAAAAACCAGTTAAATTTTAGTGAAAGAATGAAAAATGCATCTGAAAACTAAAATAAAACATTGCCCTTGATCGCACGGCCTTTCAGTTTCTTTTCAGATTCCTGTTTGAATTCAGAATCAAAATTTTATCTCATGCCGACAACAAAGAAGCGCAGATATCAGAAAAATCCTTTTCTATGAAACTAAAAAAGAAGTTTAAGGGAAAATCCTAGCAAAATGTTTATCAATCTTCTTTTTTCATATTTTGATTTATAATGTAACAGTTGTGTTGTCCCTGTACAGCTAAGTACAGAAATGTTTGGATGTAATTTTTCTTTTTGCTTCTTAAACAAAACATTCAAGGTGTGCAATAAAAGAAGCTGAAAGCAAAACACACAACCCAATGGTTTGGTTTTATAAAAGATTCCTAAAGCCTTAGAGGATTCTCTGCAAAATGTCATAATGCAACTTTTATTGTCGCAATTTGTGTTAAATTTTAACTCCCAAAAATGAAAGTTTACCAAACAGCTTAAATATTTATTTTATTCTTACTTTTTTACACTTCGACGTTTGTGATCATCCAAAAAAAACAATGTTAAGATCAGACAAAGATAAATCACACAAACATAAAAATAGTGTTTCAAGGCCGATTTTCTTTATTAAAGTGGACAAATTTGAGAGTTTATGTGAAAATATAGCTGCCCCTCCTGGTAAATCACAAGTTCACCTTCCAAATCTTGGTTTGATTTCTGCCAGACCTGCAGATTTAAGTAATCACTTACATAGAACCTTTCCGGCAGCATGAGGTAGGCTGACAAAAAGCAGCATCTAGGGCATGTGTTTCTGCCCTGTGTTTGGGAAAACAGTCACTTCCATCCATCAGTCAGCAAAGGTTTTAAAGTAATTTCCAAGGATTTGGGATTCATGTGAATCACTACTTCCACATGGAGCCTGGTTGGTTTGGATATTTATTTTTAAATAAATAGCAATCATGGTTTCAAAACTGCATTTTGTATTTACTTGTCTTTGGATGTTCATATTTGTTTGATGACCTGGTGTAAAACAAATATGTGGCAAAAAAGAAAGATTAATAGTAAAAACATATGAGGAGAATATTTTTCATAAGGCCTAAAATCTTTTTAAGCTGTAGTTTATTTAGGATTGTTTATTTTTGGGTCTGAGTGTTGCTCATAGAGATTCATAATGTTGCTTTTGAAACATCCTGAAAACAGCGAGCTTCTGATGAAACAGTGATTAATTCATATCTCTGGTTTTCCCCTCGTCTCCTCAGGTAATTCAAGGTCCTACCAGCAATGGATGCACACTGTGAAGGTATTTACACAACGTCCTGTACAGCATCCAGCTTCTCTCTCCGGGTTCCTTGTGTTTCATTTTATTCTCCACTTATATTTAATTGAAGGCCTGATTGACACAGCTCAGTGTTTGAAGTCTTGCTGTTGCCTTTGGAATGAAGGGGTTGCCTGAACGTACAGATCCAGCTGGAGTGTGTGTGTGTGTGTGTGTAGCGGCGCGTGCAGCAGGACACTGGATACAGACAGGGAGGAAGACAGAAGCGATTTGACGTGACAAGACGTCCTCCGACATGACATGTTGATCTGGCAGCAAACACAGGCGTTACGCCGCTGAACCAGCCCAAGAACATACATCTCTTCCTCCTTCATCTCTTTCGGGCCCTTCCCTCATATCCTTTCCTTCCCTTATCTATCTGTCTTTATCTCTCTCCCCCTTTTCATCTCTGTCACCCCTCCTCCCCATTTTTCCCCCCATCTCTCGCTCTCCCTCACCCTCCCTATCTCCCCACGCCGTCAGCTAAGGCTGAATTAGTTCTCTAGAGTGCTCTTCAAAGGTTTGTTAAAGTTCACATTTCCTGACTGACAGGGATCTATAAGAGAGGCCTTCACCTCAGCCCCTCTCCTCCTCTCTGTCTGCCAACTTCTGAAACACTGTCTGCCATTTACTTTGTTTAGCCGTTTAGTCGCCGTTTTGTGCTTACACTAAAGACCAAACTGAGAAGAAAGAGAAAAGAAAAAAGACATTGAGAGAAACGGGTTGGGCACCATAATGTCAGCCTTCCAAACCCAGAGGATGAACTGGGCTCATACAGTCCCCTTCATCACCCCTTTAGGCTTCTTTTTAATAAAAAGCTCACGAATGCTGTGCATTGCTTAGTTCATTGAAGGTATGCTAGTTTATCAGCACCATTTTCTGCTGTTCCTACAATATGGCTGAGCGATGCAGAATTGCATGAATTTTCAAAATGACTGATAATTTCACTGGTCAAGTTTAGCGCGGAATAATTTTTGACTTTTAAACTTAGAAGGCTGTGACACTGACACTACATTTCTACTACAAAAACGATCTATTAAATACTCTACAGGATGTTTAATGACTGGGCGATTAAACGTTCGATTTAATCAAGCTCATTTACGTCCAATACTTATCGGGAGTTCAGCCACCTCTCAGGAGTTTCAGCAAATCAGTTTTAGAGGTTGAAATTTGATTTCTGATGCCTGACATTAACCTTAAGGGGAAAACAGAAAGAAGGAGGAGCCACCTTTTAATCCGTTAGCATCAGAACCTCCAGTGAACTTGGAAAGAGCCTCATATTGGGTGGTTTTCTTTCTCTGAATGCTATTCCATGTTTTCATGTTTCCATCTCTGCTTGAAGCATAACTGGCTTTTTCTTGTCCAACATTTGTATTTTTTTAAAACAAGAGTTTGTGTTTCTTGTAAATATGTTTACTCACTGAAAAAAGGATTAATCTTCAGTTTTGGTGTTTTGGATAAAAATGAAAATAAACTTTTTTATTTTTTTGATTGAAAGAAAATTGGCCGATTTCTAATCCTTTTCTAGATGATTAGTGTTTGTATTTTTATATTTTGCTTCTGACAAAACCATTCTCAAACCCAATTTATCAGGTCCTCTATAACCACAGATTAATTCAAATAAAAACTGGAACATTTCTACATCAAAATCTTATTCATTGGCTGTTAAAGCAGATATCTCTATATATTTAAATCCTAGACTCAAACATCATTTTGAATCACTTTTAACATATTTTACTCAACTCTATCATCCTGCATTGTGTATCAGATATTGAATAATCATCTAAGTACATTCCCTTACCCATTTAGACTTTAATTAGTGCCTTACTGCCAATAGACGAATCTAAATGTCACACAGGGGAACTTCGTCGGCTCATGCAACATTTGAGATATCGTATTTATCGAATGTTTCAGATACAGATACTTTTCTGTTTTAATTCATGATAAAACGCATTTCTCTAAATGAAGCCTTCACTTTACTTTTGTGTGTAGTAATTATCACCAGAAAACATTTTTTATATAATTTTTTGTCTTGGTAAAATGACCTTTTGCATGTTGTTAACAATGGCTGACTGAGTCTTTTTATCGGCTGAGCTCACCGTTAGTGAGCCATCTGAGCACAGACGTTTTCCTCTCTACATTCACTAATAGGTGCAACTGTAGGCTTTAGTCAGTTTGATCCAGCACAACTTCAAAGTTTTCCAAAGTCGACTTCGATGTCTGTTGGTTTACAGTTTAGGCTGTTAAAGCTGCAGTATGTGACTTTTATGTTTTTTAAAAGTGGGGTTTTTTTTTGTTTTGTTTTTTTTACGCATTTGTTGAAACTGTCACCAGTTTAATATGAGACAGATAATCTGTGAAAGGATAGAGTTCCTTCACCTCCTCCCTGATCTACTATTGTTGTCTGAAGAAATGCACCCCTCCAAGTCAAAAATAACCAATCAGAGCCAGGTTGGTGTCTGACTGCTGTCAATCAGGCCTGTGCACGTGTTGCAATGTCTTATAGTAATAAAATCCACAACGTCCTTTAAAATCTCTTATTTTTGTCCTTGTATGAATGAATGCCTGGTTTTGTGTCGATATGTAAAATCTTCAAATCTCTGACTATAGTTTTCTTTTTTATCACAGAGAGGAGGAGCATTTTTCAACACAGCTGTGTCAAAGGTATTTAATACTTGTTTTTTTCTACAGAAAGAAGTGGTGATCTTGAAAGTTATAATGTATCTTCAAAAACATGTTGATTATAATTGGTAATGTAGCTAAAGAGCATTGTTCGTGGCTGGCTGTGGCGTCGTACGCTGTATAATAGGTGGTCAGGGTGCCCTTTCATGTTATCGCCTCCTGTTAGTGAGCGAGGCTCTCTCATCCAGCCTTTTGTCTGCGTGGTTTTGCCACAGGGATCAAAGAATTTCTTGATGTTACACGAAACCAGAACAGAATGCTAATTCAATATGTTTTGATTAGTAATCTGTCTTTGTGTCTGGGTGTGTTTGTGTGTGTTTCACCCCTCCTAGGCCAAGGTTCATGCCAGGCGGGGCATTCGGGACATAAAGGGCAGACTTAAAGCAAGGGTGAGCCAGCATGCACCTTCACACCTTTCCGACACAGTTTGCGCTGCATGCCAACACACACACGCGTACACAACTTTGTTCAGAGACATGCAGACAGACACATGCCTCCCTCATAGAAACAGACAGGAAAGCTGCTTTACATGGAGTGTGTGATTCTGACGTAGGGACCTTTTAATGACTGTTGAAGCCTGCTTAGCGCTTTGTTCGGGGCTGTACATTTTTAACTAGCGCCCCTCTGGCTATGGCCTGTCATGTCATCCGAAACCCCAGCCCTTCTTTTCTCTTTTATTGTCTGCATATTTCATCAGTGAGCCTGTGATTTCCTCAAAGCTAATGTAACGAGGTGTATGTTTCCATAAGCCTGATGGATTTGATAAGGCAATAGCAGTTTGATCTGTCAGTGGGAAGCAAGGAGAGAGGGCAATGATGACGAACACGAGGCGTGCGCTTCGTTCTGCACAAACACATTCGGTGGAGGCAAACACAGGTGCAGAAATCTGTTTGATTTTGAAGTTTTATGTTCGTTCAGGGGAGAAATTAATTTGTGATTGCACAGAGTCTCGAGTGCACTGCTTTCTATCAGCTCCAGGGATATGAGAGCATGAAGAATGTGTCTAAGGTGTTTCATTAATATTCTATGCTTTTAATCTTTGAAGAAATTTGTTTAAAATATTAAGATAAGCATAAAAATATCTTGAGAATAGGCTGAGTGATGTGGACTTAGAATTTTATCACAATATTATGATGTACTATCTGCCACGGTGTATCAGAGCCATTGGAGAAAGGGAAAAAAATTCTGACAAAAAGAAATTTTCTAGAAAAAAAACAAGAAAGATTCTGAGTTTGAAAAGTCAAAAATTTTGCTTGAAAAAACAAATAAATTTTTCGATGAATCTCAGAAACAAATAAAAAAGTTGGGAAATTCACAAGTTTTTTCTGGAAAATTTGAGGTTTAAGTTTCTGAGTTTCCTCTTTCAGATTTTTGCCTTTTCAAACTCAGAAATTTCTGAGATTTTTAGTGGAAGTTGCAGTGGTTGAATACTAATAAATCAGTCGAGAAGCAGATGAACCATGCTTATCTTTCGCTGATTAATCTGAAGGGGGTTTCTGTTCTTTGGGTTAGAAATTTTAGTTTTTGTGAAAATAAGTTTTCACAAAAACTTTTGTTTGTGAAAATAAAATTTTGCATGTTAAAAGACAAAAGAGCATGTTTGTAGTCCTTGAGTGGGTTTTGTAGTTTTTTAAAGATCTTGATGATACCTTTTCTTGTTGTGTTCAAATACTGTCTGCCTTTGGTATCAATGGATACTATTTTGTTATCTTTTACTTGTATAAAGTAAAAACTCAACAATTTTATGACATTTAGTTTCTTTTTTTCCCCACAGTGTACATAGTTGACATGACCACTTACTAGAGGTGCCTCATTAGGTATAGCTGTCTTCCCCAATTCATTGCAATTTTCTGTTGCGTATCACAGCAGACCAGCAACATTTGTTTAAAATATTAAAGTAAAGAAATATTTTCATGTTGTTGAGAGGAGAAATTAATTTGTGATTGCACAGTCTCCACATCACAAACATTTTGGATTAATTATGCTTCACTAATCTGGAATAGACTTCCAGAGAAGAGCATTACAGTAGAACTTATCCTATTTAAGTTTCTCACATTAATCTAAATTTGAAGATTAGCTGTTCTTTGTGTTTAAAATTTTGGGCTTGTTTTCCATAGTAGGTAACATTGTTCACTAGTGAATGAGTTTGGTTTAATGTTCTCTCTTCCTATAATCTATGGATACCATTTAAATTAGCGTTTATGATTTACTTCTCCAAAAACACAAAAAAGGCAACAATATTTACTTGGATGTTTCAAAGATGTCTGAAATGTACCAGAATGAGTAGCGCAGCGCTGCTCCTTCCCAATATTGTTGCTGCACACTGCCAGTCGGCTGGCTGAAAGAAAATCCCTATGTTTATGGGGGGTTTTATTTTCACTATTTCAAGAAAAACAAGTTCAGCTATTTTGACATATTTACAGTTGGAAAAAATACAATCATAAATTGAGAACTAAGGTATCTCCACTCTTAACTTTTTCTAATGCAGCACTGTTTTTAAACTACAGCTTGAGAAATTTGAATATATTTGTAGCAAAAGGAGAAATAATTTTGTTTTAAATGCAGTGAAATTATATTTTTCCTCAAGATTATCATGCTCCAAGACTCTTGTATAGGTCCATGCCAAACACAGCTCATTTATTTTAAAATGTGTCACGTAATGACTTTTTTCAGGCTATAAATAAATATATAAGCAGACTGATCTTTTAACCTGTGAATTGAATGTACTTTACTGGATGATGTGCCACATTTATACGGGTCAGAAATCCACACATTGGTGCTCACACTGATCACCCATTAGACAAAAAGTCTCAGATTTATATTCACCATCTCTCTCTCTTTCTCTCTCTCTCAGGAAGACGAAGAAGACGGGATGACAGTCCGTCCAGGGTCTCCCACCAGCACCAAGAGCCTGTCTCCAAGGAGACTGCAAAAGATGAGACGGGTACAACGTGCACACACACACACACCCCCCCACACCCACACACACACACCCCCCCACACACACACACACACACACACACACACACACACACACACACACACAGTGATACAAAAGCACATCAGTCAATGAGTTTTGCACATTTACACTGCCTGATCGCACCACAGCTCAGTTTTCACTTTACCAACATTAATTCAGCCTTCCACTTTTGCACTATTTTCTGTCCACTTTCTTTTCTTGATGCAATTTTTTCTCCTTTTATTTTTTTGTAGCACCAGATCTTTTTTTTCTTCTCCTCCTCTCTCCCCCCTCCTCATGCTCTCTGTTGGAAGTACAGCAGTTTGTCAGGGTTCCAAATGTAATCATAAGCATTTTTCCTTCCCTTTCAACACGCTCGTTGTTGTACACTCAGTGGTTTTCTCTGAACAGCACGGACAGTCGTAGCAACTCATCTGCTGGTCAGCATTTTCTCTGAAGAATTTGCTTGTGCTCCAAAAATGGATTGCAAAAATCTCGTCTTTGTTGTATGCAAAGCTGGTGCTTGATGTGCAAAACACACAATCGTCAGTAAATATACCAGGAAGGATGACATGTTTTCTTGTTTAATTATAACAAACTAATGAAGAAGTTTATTTTTTCTAATTCTAAAAGTGAACATAAGTTTCATAAGGTAGGGAGTTTCTGATTATGCAGTGTTATGCAAAAGTATTTACACCCACTGAACTTTTCCAAATTGTGTCACAACCACAAACTGAAATTGACTTCATGTGCAAAATAGTGAATAACAGTGAAGCAAAGAGCTCAGTCATCACACCAGTCATTTTAAGGAAGCTTATTGGTCCCCCAAAAACGACAAAAAATCCGAGCATTATCATCAATCAATAAAACCCCCACAGGCTGAACTTTGAAATTGGACATTGTGCTGCTAACACTTAGCTTTCGTCAACAACTCAGAGGTGGAAGTCAGAGGAATTTTAACAATCGAGGTACTCGAATCATTCGAGGAATCGTTTCAGCCCTATGAAGATGCTTTGATAGAAACCGGTGGTCGCCACCTTCAGTCCTCAACAGCCTTCATGTTTTAGATAGGTAGGGAAATTTTATTTACATAGCAAATCTTCAGCAACAGGGCAATTCAAAGTGCTTTACATGAATTAAAATACAAACCAAAGGAAAGACAAAAAGGTAAAGGTATAAAACTACAGATTGGTTCCCCATGTTTAATAAGAATAATTAATTAACTAGTAGGGGTTTCTCTTTATTCTTGATCTAATGAAACTAAATGTTGGTTCTCTTTGTTTCATTCTTGTTCTGGGTTGTTAAGTATATTGTACTTTCTAAGTTTGTTCTAGATTTGTAACCTAATAGGAATGAGTTTCTCTAAGTCTTGCTTCGATATGAAAACTATAAAGCTAAATCTTGGTCTAGAGTAATAAGTACTCCACCGTTTATAAAAGTAGCTAAATGTTGATCTAAGGTAATGAGTACACCGCAATTTCCTAAAGTAATAAACTAAACCGTTTTGTAGATGTGCCACTGGTTTACACCATTCCATTCCTCGCTCTGTATTTAATGTTGTTGACCTGCTGGAAGGTCAGCTTCCATGTTTTTTGCTTCTTCTAACCAGCAAAAAAACTTACGCTCGAGTTTCATCACAAACGTCACAGGATCATGCTGTCTGCTCAGAGTTGCTGAGAAATATCAATGGCCAGACCTTCTGCCACATGTTTGCTGTGTTCCTTACTTAGTTTGTGGCAAACTCCAGAAACAATTAAACATTCTTTCCAGTCCTCCATAAAAGTGGAGTGAACAACTAATAGTTGTCCTTTTGACCCTTTCCTCCTTCCTGCACTGTGCATCCAGAGTTATCATGTATTTTGGTTGCTATTTTGAACAATGCTCTCCTTTTGCTTTCAGTGTATATGTGCTTGTTAGGTTTGAATTTTTACCACATCCTTTTTGTTTTTGAGTCGTGGTTTGAGCAAAATGCTCAAAGCTTTGGGATATTGTTTTATAACCTAACCATGCTTTTCATTTTTCCACCGCTTAATCTGTGATCTGTCAGCTCTGGTCTTCATTAAGATATTTTTTTCCCACTATTATAATGTAACAAACTTCTAACATCTTTAGAGAAAGGATGTATTTATGCAGTGATTAGATGACACACATGTAAACTCAATTTACAAATCACCTGAATGCAGTTGTTTACAAAAACTTTTCCTTTGGGGGTATCAAGCATCAGAAGAGATCACTACAAATGCACACCACACTCTTCAGATTTCTATTTATTCCAAAAATTTAAAATGATACTAAAGGAGAATAATTTACACTAGGACAAAATTTCAAGTCATTATCTGCAGGTTGAGTGGAAATGCATTTTTGCAAGATATTTTGAAAAATTCACAGTAATTCATTTCATCCGAGTAAAATACTTTCAATTTTGTAGTTGAGCCGTGAAAAAAAATATATAAAAGTTAATACTTCCTCAGGGAGCTTTTTGTCATCTACCACCTCATATCTACACCTCTGGAGGATTTTCCACCTCTTATTTTTAAACACATAAATTGTAGGTGGACTGTGGGAATAAAAAAAAAAAGTAACAACAAAAAAAAAACAACGGATGCCTGCATGCACATGCTGACATTTCGGTCGCAGCCGCGTACGGGTGTGATTAGGAGAGCTTGTGCTGTGTCTAATTAGCGTTGTGTTTCCTGTGTGTGTGATGAGGCTGGAAAGTCTTAGTGTGGGGAAGGTGTGACGGCCGGGGGAGAGAGAGGAGAAGAACGGCAATTAGGGATTTTCTAAAGGCCTCCTCGGACACCCTCCTCCCCCGCCGCTCCCCCTCACACAAAGACGGCCCGCCGCACACACACAGATTGACTGTTAACACACACACACACCGGGCTCAGGATATACACTCACACCCATGTTCATGCCACTGAGGCCTGCTCATTGCCACAGTAACAGGTCCCTGGAGACGGCGGGAGGAGGGACGGTCAGGACGCAGGACGGCGTGTCCCACAGCGTGGCTATTGTGTGTCTGTTTACATGTAGCCAATCACTCTCTTGTTAATCATACACTCTGACCATTACTGTCTTTTCTTACTGGCCCACCTCTCTTATTTTGTTGGATGAATAATTAAACTATATGAAAACTCTCATCAGGGTTTTTGTGTAAAACATAATAAAAAAAAACTGTAAATTCAGAAGCCAAGAGGACTTTCATAATTTATGGTTGTATGTTTTTATTAATCATCAAAAGATGGAAACTCCACAAAAATGTCTCTAGAAAATGTTGCAAAATTTATACATTTGTCCTATTTTCTAGCTCATCTTTTTCATTTTTCCACTGAGTCTGGAAACAGAAGCAAAACCCAAATCATTTAGGTAGAGATGCTCTCCAGGTCTTTGTTTTCTGAAAGCACTCTTTTCTATTTTCACCTGTTTATTACAGGGCATATTTACATTCCTGTTTATGGAAACAGCAATTGTTTCAACTCTTTATTATTCACCTTTTATCTGTAGTTATTTCTCTCTTTGAGGCTGACTCCTATACATTGTTGATACTGATGTTCCTTCTGCCCACAACCGTCTTGACCAGGTGTTCTTTCCTCGAGAAATTGATCTCAAGAGACCAACACGGTTAAATAAAGGTTAAGTGAAATTACCTGCAAACATCTCCCACTCGGCAAGCTTCCTTTTGCTTGGTCAACCTTTTATTCTTCGCTCCATTTATAGGGTCAAATTTCTGTCCATACCATCTGCGAAAACTACAATGACAGTATTTTGTTGCCAAATCTAAAAATAATGCTTTAGTCTGGCTTTGATTTATTTATTTGAGTGGGAAAAGATTAGAAGGGAATAAAGAAAATAGTTTTCAGTTGCAAAAATTCAAAAAGTGATGAAGTAGAAACCTCACAGTTGGAGGAAAACAGGCTTTAACCTGTTTTTGAAAATGTATTTAATTTAACAGTTCATTTATACATGAGTTTGAGAAGTAACAAGGCAGTATGTACATTTAATTGTTCTCAGGTGTGCATCTTAACTTAAATGTTTTAACAAAGCAGAATGAGTAACTTGACTTTTTTTTAAGTTTAATGTGATAGGCCAACACAATGTTGCTCATAATTTAGTTGGAGAAAAAGTATGAATGGTTTTTGAACATTTTTATAAATCTGAAAAATGTTCTCTGCACACATATTCAGTCTCATCAGTAGTTGGTGGTGAAGTTTCTACCAGTGTTACACATCTGGAGAGGGAAAATGTTGCCCTTTCTTCTTTACAAAATAACTCAAGCCCAGTGAGGGTTGATGAAGATCTAATGTGATGATCAGTTTTAAAGTCTCATCACAGTTAAAAATGACCACACCATGATGCTTTCACTGCCATGTTTCGCTGTCGGTAGGTTCTGTTCTGATTTGTGGGTTGACAGATTGTCCAGCCTGAGCTGTGTGTCTGTGCAGCTCCTCCAGAGTCTCCATGTGCAGCTCCTCCAGAGTCTCCATGGGCAGCTTGCTGTTCTCTGGTTAGTGAATTTGTCTGACTGTTTCTCCATCAAACCTCTGAGGTTTTTTGGAACAGCATATTTACACTGAGATTAAAGTACTGAGTCTGAATACAAAAATGCAAGCCACATTTTTTAGATTTTAATTTGTAAAAATCATATTTTTGTCTTATTTGCCTTTGTGTTGGTTTCTCATTTAAAGTTAAATTAAATAACATGTAAAAAAGGGTGAGGGTTAGTTTGTCATCAAAAATTGGCAGATAATTAGTGACATTCCACACTATTGTATAAAGCAAATATTCCTTCTGCATTTTTAGCGTTGTTCATATTTGAAGCCAACATCTCTGTCTGCCTCTTTTTAATTCATCACAGGAAAATAATCAGTTATGAAATTCCTATTCTATATGCTCAGCTAACTCCTGCGCCAACGTAGAAGTGCCGCTGTCACATGTATCTAAATTTGAGCTGCATCCGGCCGTGTGAATGATCTGTAATGATC